CGCTTCTTCAACTTGCGAAGTGTAAAGCTTGTTGCGGCGATGTCGAACTCATAAAATGCGATCGCGAGAATGGACTTGCAGTAAAACTCAAGCGATGTTGCAAGATCTGCGGGGATGTTGCATCCGAGTGGAGTTCGCCGCGGGTAGCAGTAAAAATCTGTCCGTGAACGTTTTTTGCTGTTTTCTCGAAATGAACTTTTTGCGCAGTTTGCTATTTCGCGAAAGCCGTACACAACCGATCTTCCTAATTCTTTTTTCTTTGGTAGGTGTATAAGTGAGGTATCCAATAAGGGGTCTAATTGCATCAACCTAGGCATCAGTACTTTTTGTTAGCACCTCCAACTTAGATTGTAAAAATTCATTTATAAACTGAAAATTTCGAAAGGCCGTAAAAATGTTATAAATAATCATGGAGCCTTCATGTATACCTTATTGGATTCTGTAGACCTTCAAGTTTACAGAGATACATTTATTTTTGAGTTTCGTCTTCATAATTTTTTCGAATCTCGCCCATAAAATGTTTAAATAAAATAGTTAATTTTATCAAAACTAACCAAGCTATATTAAAACAAAGTACATATTTGTAATCAGAATGAGAAGATGATTATTCTTTATAAATTTCATTTGGATTGGACCATAAATAAAGCTCAAGAAGCAGTGTTTTCCCTTAAGGAAACGCAATAAATTCGACCTCACTACTGCACAAAAGTTCCTATGATGTCTTCCTCGTGTCATCACATATCTCACACTCAAATTTTATACTGATAGAAGATGAAGTTTTCGCAAACGCTGAGATTGGCTAGCTACGACAGAGGCCCTAACAAGCGTCCCCTACTCCTCGCTAAGCCTTTTTGGACGAGCTTTTACTGACGCCCAAGATCTGTGCCTGAACAGTGCGTCTGAAATTATCTCGGCATACTCAGTCAGGAAGAAAGCAAACACCTAACAGATATTATGGCAATTAGCAAACCGTCAAATGCGCTTTGAATAATTTCCTTCATTTGGCGCACCGTATAGGGGTTCATCCCCGTCCGCCGCACTTCCGGCGAAAGGTGCGACATTCTTCACAAAAGTGCTCGCCTTTTGCTTTTTTAAAACGGTTTGTATGTGCGAATGTGCCCATATGATTGCCAATAACTTTATGCGCATAGACGATGTTGAATATTAGTGGGATGCCAAGCGGGTGGGGACTTCACTTCTTCGTCCAGTGTTGCGGGGCAGTACAGATAAGAGATAAGAAGTGTGTTCAAATGGAGCTTTTCAATGGCGACTCCAAGTTTTACCTCGCGTAGTCAGGCGTATTAAAAAAAAACTGTTATTGCAAAAAGTTACATTTCGTCTATGGACGCACGAAACAAACATAGTTCCTGGCTGTGTTGAAAATCTTGCCCAAATGGATCCGAGTTACTCCGGCGGATCGTATCACGTACGTGACAGCACATATTGAAAAACGCTGGACGCGGGTAGCTTTTAGAACGCCAAGGGTACAAAACCCTTACCCTGGACTAAGATCGAGTAAATTTTGGAACACGGCCCTGATGAAGAATACTAATGTAAAGGCGCAAGCTCGATGTATTCATACGTATTGCTTGCTACAGCTGTAGCAAGCAATACGTATGCATACATCGAGCTGTGTACGTGTACGAATCAACAAACTCGAGCTTGTTGATTCGTACACAAGCAAGATCCCCGAGCTTCGCAGCGTCGAGATTTCCAGCACTGGCTCCTCCACATACCTCGAAACGCTAACAGAAAGGCTCAAGTACAAAAATACAACACGCATGCGTCAAGACAAGCTATACGTCTCGGGTTTGTGCTAAAGCTTCGAGGTCTGGCCATCTAGGTTAGTTTAGAGACAACAAATGACGCTCTCAAGACCACAAAAACATGAGATAACGGCCGTTTATAGTCCACGCTCTGTGTATAATCTCTTGTCGACGTTTCGATCGAAACCGAAACCATGCCACTCTCCTCACTTGCCAACTAGTTCCCAGAGTGCAACGCGCGCCGTGTTGCATGCAGGGATTTAAGGAAGTAGTCTATTCCAACTATTCAAATACGACACACTTAGTAAATTTGAAAGTAAACATATTCGACAAATATCTGCCTGGTTGGGTGAGAGTTAAAGTCTGAAAATGTATCTCCAACCAAAAATTGAAAGGAAACCCGACGTTTCAAAACCAACACGGTTTCTTTTTCAGGGGTGACTGAAGGCACGCGGACACAGCAGCAGCTCCCGTGTGTCCGCGTGCCTTCAGTCACCCCTGAAGAAGAAACCGTGTTAGTTTTGAAACGTCGGGTTGCCTTTCAATTTTTGGTTGGAGATACATCTTCAGACTTTAACTTAGTAAATTGTCTATGATATACTCGACAAAAAAACAGGCATTGTTGCTACATTAAGCTGGGCACAACACTGCTCAGTTCAGGCACAACCACGTGGAAAGTCCCATTACAGTTCCAAACAGTTCAGTTCATCAGAAGTTACACTAAAAAAAATAGGAAAGAAATCGCTTTAGTTCATTGCACATGGTAATTGCCAGATGGAGAAAACAGATTACTGTTTTCATAAAATGAAAGTACGTAGTCCTTCAGTCGCAGTGAAAGTGTTCTATGACGTACTGGCCGACCGAGAAGAAGATTTGGCGTAGTCACTGTTGCTTCCGGGACGCAAAAGTGAGTATGGCTACCGTTCACGCCCTCTTCAAGTGTAGGCATGGAGGAAGGTGTTCCAGGATTAGATACAGCGGGGCTGCTGGTCGCCATCGGGATGAACGGTTGAAGAGGATCTTGAACCTCGAGACTTGGGAACACAGGACTGCTCAATTGGGAGTTAGACGAAGGCACCTGCGAGGATGGACCTGGCACAGCAGGTTCAGAGCTGCAACTAGCTCTACTTGCAGCTGGACTGCAGACAGGATCGGGTGGAACCGTGACAGTATGGTTGCCCAACGGAGAACGGTGTCTTATTGGAGCAGGTTCGTTTTCATCATCATTCCAGGCGAGATCTGCATCCTGCTGCTCTAATGGAATCAATGCTCTTGTTAATTTGCCGGCGTTCCATATTCGCCCGTCAGCGAATTTGTAAGTGGCCGGGGCCAATTGAGTTTGAATAACTTGTGGCGTTAAATACTTAGTTCGTAATTTATTCTTGTGTTCTGGTCGAAAAATCCGGACTGTCTGGCCAGAGACGAACCTCGGCCAACGGACAGTCCTTCGAGAGTCCGAGTACGACTTCTTTTTCTGTTGGTAACTACGCACTCTCGCATGAAGATCAGTCCGGCTTGTAGAGACAACCGGAGCATCGGGGGTTGGCATCCCTTGAATGTCTAACTTGGACCTATGAGTCCGTCCATAAAGCAGTTGGGAAGGTGCTTGGCCTGTTTCCGAGTGGGGAGTTCGTCGGTAAGCTTCCAGGTAGTCCCGGACAGCATCCGGCAGAGGGCGTCCTCGTACGACGGCTAGCTGAAGACAGGACTTCAATACGCGATTAAACCGCTCCACTTGGCCATTTGCTTGAGGGTGATATAAAGATGCCTTGGTACGCTTAATTCCATGCTGGTGTAGAAATCCTTGGAACTCGTGTGAAACAAACTGGACGCCGTTGCCCGAAACGATTTCGCAAGGAAGACCCTCGCGGACAAAGACAGTTGAAGTTACTGATGCTGCCCCTCAGCGAAAACGAAGACGTTTGAAATATACCACATTCTAATTTGAGCCTATTTGAAGTACAGTTCATAATTGTAAGTACACAATAAATAGACCAAAAATATACTTTTTTTTTTACTTAGTACTAAAATATATTTCTGAAAATATTTTAAAAATACCTTTATTTTAACTACATTTGAAGTTCCCTTCATGCGTTCTGAAATATGTAAATAGTGAATTAGTAGGCCCAAAATACATTTCACAGATTTTTTAAGATATGCATTTATTTCATGCAAAATATACTCCAACCCTAATACAAATGCAGCGATGAAAAATATGCGCAGAATACTCTTAAAATACCTGGAAATCGTAAATACTGTTGTGTTACGCTCCAAGTATCTTTTGAGTGCAATACTTTGGTAGTCTGACTTAAACTACCAAAGTATTGAAAAGCTCGCCTATCAGAAGTTCACTTCAAGCAGATTTGGAGTACACTGAAGTGCCTAAACACAACATTTTATTAGTTTGTCAATTAAGTTGTGCAGCACCGCACTGATAAATCAGTACAGTTTACGTTATTGTTTCCTTTTTTCTATCAAGAACAGACCTGATGAATTTCTTGCGCACCAATCACAAACGGGGTTTGGGAACCACAACCACAACAATCGCTGATACTGGAAGGCTTCAGCAAGTGCTGTGAGCAGATATTTTTGGCGTGCAATTGTGTTAGCAAATGTTAGTTCACTGAATGCGTATACTCACCATTGTACGTAATGGGAGTAGTGACTTTAATATGGTGACGTTAATGACCATATTAAATAGTCAACTGGTAAAGAAAAGCAAAATAACTATTTTAAAGTGAAGAAACCAGCTTCACTCGCTTCATCCTGGGTGGTGCTACGCAGGGAAGCAGTAAAATTGTTTCTAGGAGCCGTTTTTATGGATATTGTTTCAACGACTGCGCCGAATTATTATTAGCTGTATTAATGCTTGTAGTAAGAGATATCATCCAAGAACTTCAAAACACTGTTTCCCCTTTGACAGACTGCCGAGGAGAATATTGAATACTTGGAACCTTAATAAGTGCAGGGCTGGTCACCGGTCAAATGATTACCTTCAAAATGATTACCTTTAACCACCGGAGAGGCGTAACGAGGCTTAGCCATAGCCAGCGTGACCGCTTCGTTTCCCCTTTCTGTTCTTTTTTCGCCGATATTGCGCCGAGACTAGAGCTCTGTAGAACGAAGTTCACGGACATATACAAGAAAAAGTGGCAGCACCGTTGCATTTCTATATACAGACGAACAATGATCCCAGTGGCAGATAGCACGTTGAACCCAACAGCAGAGCCGGGCATGACTGATATGGCAACGGAACTGACGGTGGATCGGGGTGCGTGACGTCACCCAGGAAGTGATCGGGCCTTAGTTTATAGAGGGTGTTGCTCTGGCTCCTCTACGGATTCAGGGTAACAGACGATTTCGCCGTTCTTTCCATAGACGGCGTGCGGCGTTCTCTGGTGCGCGTTCTCTGGTGCACCGGTTGCACCGAGTGCCTGTTGGTCGCTCTTTTACATCAGCAGGATGATTTCCTGTAAGTATTGTACTTGACCAGGGAACAGCCTAACAATCTACATGTGTTGATTATTTCTGCAGAGTTCCAGGAAACAGGACAAGTGCACGAAGTGCACGCTTAAATTTGTATTTTAAAATTAATGGAAGCATTGTATTAAAATTTCATTGAACTTCCATGAGAAAGAAGAGAAGAAAGCAGGGTTGGCACCTCGTTACCTGCGTGGTCCAAAAAGCGGGTTCAGCTTTCTGAACATTTGTTGATAGTTTTATTGGCGAGTTACAATAGTCATTGTTTAAAGTGACAAACATAAGCAACAAAGGGTTAATTTATTTATCGGTCCCTTTCACAATCCCGCGAACTCTGGGGTGTACAGAGGGCAAATGGACTTGTCCCTGTACAGGCTAACCCTGAAAGGACTGCACATGAGATAACCATTAAAAACTATGGGACGTGTATGTAAATAAGTTCCTGGGATCAGGGCCATATCCAGAGGAGGAGGAGAGCGAGCTTCAAAATTCATCCTGGACCGCCAAACATTTTTCCTGGGTTCGGCCTTGACTTTGCTTAGACCCAGAAACATTGATGAGAGCTGTAGTAAGGTGGTTAGTTTACAAAAAAGCTGATTGAAATGACATGTAAATGGGAGTGGGAAATCCTTGAGGGTGTTGCAGCTCAGGGGATCCGACCCGGATCCCCTGGAGCTGCAAAAAGATCATCAAGGCGTACAGGGATGCCACAAGTGCCAGGGTGCTTGAGCTGAACAGGGCATCGGTTCGGCTTTGGACGATTCTACTCGGAGAGAGTTACAGGAACCACCAGAGGTTTAGACTGTGGGACACAGGAAGAAGACAGCATTTTGAACGAAACTGGTATGTGCGACGAAGATTAGTGTTGGACGCTGTAAAAAGGTCGAATGTTGGGTTTGGAAATAGTTGTAGTTTTGTGAATGGTGACCAATCCGCTGGGGCTCGGAGGTGCGGTATGGTGAATCCTTGTAAAGTCGCACTTACAGAGAGGACGGAGGAATTGTTGAGAGGAGGACCGAAGTTTTGTGTAAATGTAAAACCGTCGAGAGTAGATGTTTTTTCCGCGATCCAGACAATTGCTAAAAAAGTAGGGTTAGACGAAAGGGATGCTTCTGTGGACTACGCGGTCAGTAGAATGGAAAGAGTTGTGGATGATTCGTATAAAAAAGACAGGAGGAATTTTCAGGCTATCACGGAAGTAAGAAAGGACTTTAAATCTAGATCACTGGAATTGTTACAGACCGATAAGAGCGGTATGTTTGCCGTCCTTCCATTGGCGGTTTTTGAAAAAAAGTCAACAGAGGCATTGGACTCGGTATTCATGGCATGGCAAGGCAAGTTGGGAAAATTAATGAAGGACATCTCATTTACACTTAAAGACGAGGGTTTAGAGACCTCAGCCAGGAAAGTCCTGAATCAGCCGAGAAGCACTTTAAGTTTAAAATTCTTCTTAAAGGACCACAAGCCGGAAATGCAGTTCCCCACGGTTATTATTGAGAACGGAACGTGGCAAAGCATGGTTTCGAAGTTTCTTCAAAAAGGTTTAGACTTCGCTAGATTGAAAAACAGTCTTTCGTTAAGAAACTCCGACAATTTTGTTCAGATTTTAGATGCTCACCATGGGAGGCAATGCTCGTTGATCTCGGTGGACATTAAAGATCTGTACTATTCTCTTGAAAAACAGCTGTTGATGAGTAGGGTTAGAGAGGCTTTGGAGCGTAATTTGGTAAAATTTCAATCAGGTACGGGGATTTCGGTAGATAGTTTTTTAGCGATCCTGGATCTTTATCTTAAAGCCACGGTAGTGGAGTTCAAGGAACGCATGTGGATTCAAAAGAAGGGTGTGTGTATTGGGACTGCGGTGGCACCTATTTTGGCAGAAATTTATTTAAACTCTTTGGATAACGTGATCTCGGAAAGGCTGGCAGTTTGGGGGTCGGGTGAAGTTTTAGTGAGAAGGTATGTTGATGACATTGTGGTCATGAGCTTTCATGGGAAGGATACGGGAGCAATAGAGAGTGTGGTGAGAGGCTCAGCACCGGAACTTACCTTTACTGTTGAAGGGCCAGACAGAGGAGTTTTGCAGTTTTTAGATTTCCCAGGTGAAAATATGAAGTGGGATTTCAAGTGGTCCCAGTTGATTTAAAGTGGTTCCACTTGATGTCCAGTTGTGACCACTTGGATGCAAGTGGTCCTTGAAGTGGTCCCACTTGATGCCCAGTTGTGGCCACTTGGATGCAAGTGGTCCCACTTGATGTCCAGTTGTGACCACTTAGATGCAAGTGGTCCTTGCACTGGTCCCACTTGAGGTTCAGTTGTGACCACTTGGATACAAGTGGTTCTTGAAGTGGTCCCACTTGGTAGACACATTGGTCATCCCTTGTACACTTCGAGCTACTCTAGTCGGTGAAAGGTTAACACTGCTCAAAAAGTTCCACCTCTTGCACGACATTTCTGAACTTCACGACAAGCATGCAGGTGCACCTCCCCACCCTACGTCCGGTGAAGGAAACGAGCACATGCTGGAGGTGGGCATTCTGGCAGTCTTTAAAAGGAGCCCTGAAATTGTTTCCTGACTGCTTCCAAGTTTATGCTAAGCCCAACCTCAGTGAATTTGGCAACACAGAAAAGTCTGGAATTCATATTTTTTGGGGAGTTATAGCTACTAACAACAAGCAAGAAAGGCTCTCTGCATGACGCAAGAGGTTTGTTTGGTATTGCCAATGGAAGGAGCGAAAAGACTCCTATCATCAGATGAGCACCGGAGAACATGGCACACTGCACTTCACGGATTCTCCCCACTACCAATTCTGCCTTTACGACAGTGATTAACCGAAGGCAAACTTGGCAAATCTTTGCGATTTACCAGACTTGCAAAATAGTACACCTTCTCAGTTTGTCAAGTAAACCTTTGTAATGACTCAAAAAATGACAACAAATGAATGGTTTCAAAGTTCAGAATATATATTTACTTCAAGTTGGCGAGATAGTAAAACTTCTGTTTGTCAACTAAACAGATGATTCCGAAAATGACAACAAACACATTGCTCGTTTGTTGAATGGTATATCTTTGTTTCACTTCTGCCAGGACAATTTTCAGCATAATTACTACCATATATACAATTTAAGGTTAACAAGAGGAACAATGTAACAATGAGGGGGCATCTCATATAGAACAAAATAAACCAACCCTATCTACAAAAAAAAGAATGCAGACAAAGTAAAAAAATAGCAACTTACAAAGATCGTTCATAAAAGATTGAAATTTGGAGGTTGTTGTTGGTGATACAAATATTTGTGAGTTGGAGAATGCTCTTTGTACAACTAGATATTTTGTTTAAAACGTGATTGTGTAGCATATGAACCTGAGTGTGCAGGACTGCCAAATTATTCCTAATATATCTCTGTTCAATCTATTTATTTTGGCACATTAAGCACTGTAGGAGGCAGTTGATTACATTTGTGCTGCTCCTGATCATGTTGAAATCACGTTACTCTTCGCACTTACTTTAAAAAAGCCAGACTTTTTAGGCTTTTCGTGACCATTTCGATAAAAGTTTCTGACTGTTTCTTTGCTTGGTGGATCACATGTCTGGCAATATTCAGCACGGCCATGCCGACGCACGACTGCTGCGTCTCTTTCTGCACTGCCGTGCCACTTGCACTGGTCATTTTCCCTGATTTAGCCAACGAAATCCGGTAATTCTTTGACTTTACCAGGTGATCTGAAATTCCCTAATTACAATTTTTTAGGTTGGTGGACACAGTTTCATGCGCAGGTTGAAAATGCGGGCAGACGTTGCTTACTACAGTTGAAGTTTACTTTCCATGAAACAAATAAAGAAGGGATGTTCAATGGTACCTCTCTATATGAAATCACCTGTTACCCCGACATAGCAGGGTCAGGGTGTCTACCAACCTGGAAAAGCCGAGATTGTCAGGGAACATTGGATCATCAAGAAAAGCCAGGGAAATATCGGGGAAACCCCCAAAGAGCTAGCTAATGGGAGGGAAACTACCAGTGAAAGTGGCGTGGCGGTGTGCAATGAAACCAGATTGTCATGTATCGGCATGGCAGTGCCAAGTAGCGTTGCCTGAAATGCCACTGCCTGATTAAAAGGAAAGAGCCACAAGCACAAGAAGGTTAGCGGCTATTGGTTTGTCATGCCAAAAGGCTGGTCAAAAATCTTCTTTGACCAAAGAAATGGTCAGGGCATTTTATCAAAATAGTCAAGGATAACCTGAAAAAGTCGAGATCGGAAAGAAGTAATTTGGGAGACTACCTGAAGGTTGTTTAAAATGAACCATAGCGGTTGCACAATTCTGCAAAAATCTCTGTGTCATCAATCTGCAGGTACATGCATGGGCGAACGGCTTGGGACAGTGGATGCAAGCTCTTCTGAGCAGTCTTGTGTGCGACTTTTAGGTGATCGACCTCTCCCATTGCTTCGACCTGGTACACATGGGAGATAACGAAAAGCTCCAAGCTCCCACCAAACATGCAAACACGCACTATATTCGCCACCTTCGCATAGACGTCTCCTAGCTTTATACCAGTGGAGTCCCGTTTCGATAGAGGCTTGTACTGTTCACTGTGGATGGTGCATCCACCCACAGACACACGATGGTACTCCTCGATTTTGTCCACTCCTGTCAGGTGCTCCAGTACAAAGTCTGTCACGTCTTGAGAGGCTGGTTGAGGTTTCCCAAGTAGCCTGATCTCTGTTTCCCTGTCAGGCATTTTTTGGGAGCACTGCTTCCTCACCTCTTCGGACGCCATGGATCGCAACTGATGATAGTTGTTCCTCAACAGAATGCGGGATAGGATTTGGAACGGAATTCCATTCGAAGAGGACACCAGCTTGAGCAGGTGCCCCATGTTGTTCTCAAACTCGAAGCACGATAGTGACCAGAGTGGGCCGTGCAGCAATACACTTTTTGGCAGGTGCAGCAACGTGTGAACGTTGGATGTCATCTGTGCTTCTCCAAAATGATATTGCATCAGCACGACAAACTTTGTGATCTTGGTAGTGCTTGTATCGACGTCTTCCAGCGTGACATGGTTCTGCAGCAAGAGGTAAAGTCCAGAAACAAGGAGCGCAAAATGCTCGAGAAGCTCTTCTGGAAGGATATCCCTCAGGCACGGCAGGCAGTAATAAAGCAGCCATGCCTCCCATTCTGACGCCTTCCAATACTTCCTTAGCTTAATCGACCGTGGTGGACGATTGAAGCACAGGTGCGGCCTCTGACCTTGGAGCCGCTGGTCCACCACAGCCAAAGTCCTAGGGGCCCCTATGTAATGGTCCTCGCCGACGTTCGAGAACCAGATTTCGGTGACCTGACGCACAACACCAAGGAGGACACAGTGCATATAATCGGGCCGAAAACTCCAAACTATGTCGAATCCCGGAACATTGATGAGAGGCGATGGCCCCTTAAACCCGTTGACGGCGTGGCTTGTCGCTGCTGCACTTGTCATATCAGACAACATAGAAGCCTCTGTCCTGTCATCAACAGCTACTGTCACCGGGTACTTCACGCTGCCTGCACAGTGAACCATGAACATTAGTGCTTTGCCTAGCAACTGAGAATGGTCCTTCAAAGAATAAACTTATTTGACTGTACCTTCGACGAAAACTCCAGGGTGTAAGCACCAAGCACAGCCATTGTACCCGTTGAACTGCACCATGTTCTGCATAGAGGCCCTCGCTGGGGCGTCTGCGACACTGGTTATGCAGTAGACCTAAAAAAGTAAGAGACACCAAAGAATATAGCTCAGTGAATTTTATAGTTCCATGGAAATTGCTTTCTAATAACTTCATAACAATGTAATACATTTTATAAGTGCTATTAGAAACTAATTTAAACAAGAAGTAGCTGAACTGGTGAGGTAGGTACTAAGGTCTTTGCGATTTTCCTCCAATTCAGTTAAAGATGTATTGATGTAGTTCCATATCAGATGTCTATTGCATTGAAGAAGTTAGGGCTTCATTTTTTTTCAACCAGAGGCTATACAAAAGGAATAAAAAGTAACTCCTGGCATAAATGCATAGCCGCAAGCCTTCGGGCGAAGGCTACTCAAAATTTAATGCAAAGAAATAAAATATAAGACTGTGTCAAGAGCATATATATAGAAACATACCTTTGAATGTATATCTTGGCCACCTGCATTCCAGGATATCCCATCCCTGGAGAGCTCCCTCATCTGGTCGGCGAACGTTTGAAGGAGCAGCGTCATATTTGGGTGCTTCGTACCGTATTACAGGAGAGAACAAATGACGCTGCGCCAGCGCAGGTGTGGTGGCAGCTCGTTCAGGGTGAAGTGCACGGGCCAGATGGAGTAGTTTAACGACTTAAACATCGGACTCCCGTCTGCACTCATGGTCAGCGTCAGGTCCTGTTTTCTGCAGTTGAGCTTCTCTCGCTGTTGCTTGTAGAAAGAGCCGTCGGTGATGTCCGATACACCAGTGTTTTCTGGTGCCTTTGTGCGGCTCAATGACTCCAAGAGCTGCTCTCTCACAGTAGTGTCCCCAAGGAGAGAGGTGAATTGCTTATCCAGCGGCAAGCTAACAAAAAAGTTCCCGTTTGCCATTAACTGGCGACCAACGTAATGCTTTCCGCATGTCGAACACGTGCTCGATATGTTGTTGCGCTCTGGTAGCTTTCCTCCAGTTTTCGTCAGCAGTTGATCACAAGTAGGGCAGTAGAAGTGGAACTGCATCTCTTCCGGTGAAGCTCCAGAAAACTTCCTGAACAAGTATTTGCTCTCTGGAAGAACATTCTTTCCCAACAGAATATTTCCAAACTTTAGGAGGTCCTCTATGGCCGTCCATTCCAAGTCATGCTTTATCGCTATGTCTATGATGAGGACAAGGACGTCTCCTACAGACATGGAGCTTCCATCTCGAAGAGGGGTCACAAACTCCAGCAAGAACGGGGAGCTGGCAGAACTGGTGCCTGGATGAGTATCGGTTGAAGAGTGATGTTCGTCTTCATGGTAGGGCTCCGAACCGCTGTCTTCAGCAGCCGAGTGATCTCCTGGATCATCGTCTATAACTACGGGCGACGGACCACTCCCTTCAGATCTCGAGTGGTTGTTTGGTTCATCTCCGCAGCTGCTGTCCGATGCTCCACGAGTAGTCGAAGCAGTCGCAGGGTTTGGACACCCCGAATTATGGCGTGGACAGGGAACACTTGGCGACACGAGCACCCTTTTTCTTATCTCATGTTCTGTTGATCTTGGTAACGGTTCATCCCATGCGTCGGGCTCAAGATATTGCTTACGAGTTCTGAATTTGCTCAGGCTCATCGTCGTACGTTCACAGCATGTTCCAGTCGAGAAACAACACAAAACGATCACGGTCCAGTCCACAGAAGCCTAGATCGGCCCGGTTAGCCACAGGCAGTCACTCTGGCCCAGCAGCCCCAACTAAACTGAAAAACAGCGTTAATTTTCCGAAGTTTAACCAAATCACGTTCGCCGTGAACCAAATGTGGCTTTGTTGGCTTTGTCTGGCTAGTTGTCCAGTTCTTTGGATTGGGATTGGATTTCGTTGGTTATTGCCTCTGTAACTGGTTAAGGGGGAAACTTGCGTTTACTTCGTTTACAAATGCTTTATAATTGCCAAACATTTCAAGTAAAAATCTCTGTTGTCTTTGATCTAGTTGTAATAGTACGTTTCTTTAAATGTAGATTATGTGGTCATAATTTTTCAAGCCTAATCATCGGTCCGATTCCAATCCGATCCACAGCCACCACAGCGTCGGCATTCCGGATGCAGATTTCAGAACATTTTTGTGGTGGAGATTAGTTAATCGCGAATTCCTATTACATCATCGAAACGATGTTCGCGCTAGTTCGTTTTTTAAAAGAATTTGATCAGAAGGGGTACGTGGTTCCGGTGCGGTGCATTAAGGACTTTCATCCGGTGAACGAAAATGACTTCGATAAGAACGGAGTATACACGACGTTCTGGGAGGACAATGAAAACTCCGAGAACACTGGATCGTATCCTTCGCAAGTGTTGCTTCTGGCAAGTAAGTAATTGGAGACTTAATTATTACAAATAAATAATACATAAAATTAGGAGGGCGTGATCGTATTCATAAAATACGCGCGGACGCGCGACTTCAAGAGAAACGTGTCTGCGTGGTGGTCGCGGTCATTCAATTTGATTAGGCAGCCACTGATGGGAAATATCAAATATGTCAGTCACATGTACACTGCTCGCAACGACTATGCGCACGTAATCCGTATTTTCTCACTGGACGAGTGAAGAGCCCCTTTCGAAATCCGCGTGCTGTTCGTCAGAAGGTTTGAGCCCACTGCACGTGGAAAGACCAGCACCGCAAACTGTGCAAGAGCAAAACTACGTTAAACGGGGATTAAGTGTTTTAATAGTATTTATATGGCTCAAGTTTTGGTGGTTTTGATGACAGCCTTTTATTTCAGTTGCCAGTGTACACACAATCGTTATGCGAGGAATTCACTGTCCAACACTAGGTAAATGCGTAATTTTGCGTCACACTCGCTTCGTCGCGTGGTAATAGTGTGACGCTTACCCCAAAATAGCAGGGAGAGAAAGAACAAGCAAAATGTGTCAATCATTTTTGCTGGCAACAGCACCAATAGACGACTAGATGACAACTTATTCATACTCGCGCAGTATATAGAGATAACAATTACTAGTCAAAAGACATTACGGGTAGCATTGGATATCAAAGTTCTTACATTCATATATCTCAAAATTGCGACCTAATGAGTGCCAAACTCTGTTGTATAAATATTTGATGTACTATTTTAAGTAATTTTTTTTTGTTGTAACACAGATTCCGAAGAAGAACTGCAAGCGAAGAGGGCATCCAGAAGGGTGCGCAAGGCCGTAATCCACCCTTCAGATCTTGAAACTGGAGAAGGAAGTGAGCATGAGGCACCTGCTTCTCAGAAGCAAACATCCAAACAGGTATGTTGCACTCATTTGTACTTAGTGCAACTTCATAGTCTTTCAGGACTGTCGTAACTTTTTACAGGAGAAGAAAAGGCAGAAAGTGCACCAGTTGGCATCTAAGAGCTCTGCCTATCAGAGCATCCTTCAAGAGCATCTGGAAAACTCTACGAAAAAAAATGAAGCCGCCTGTGCCGTCCGGGTATGTGGTCCATAAATATGCATTTAACACAAGATTTTGATATTTTGTGTGCACAATGGTCTAAATTTTTTTACTGCCCAGGTCTCTACAAAACGACGTCGTCCTGCAACTGAATCGGACAGCGACAGTGATGACTATGTCGTTTGTGCGTCAGAGCTGAAGCGTGCCAGAAGCGAGGCGAGGTACTGGCGCCACCGCTGTGAGGAAGCCATCAAAGAGAAGGCCCAACTCGCCAACATCATAGAATCTATGAATGGGACTATCGCTAGCAAGCTGACAGCCAGTAAGTATGTCTTCATTCATTCAGCTGTTTGCATAGAAGCCTGTGATTCTATTCAGTGTATTTTTGGAGACTGCATGCCCGTGTTGTTTCATACAAACAGAGAATAGTTAATCTCTTTTTGATGGCTTACTTTTTTGACGTTGGCATCCTATGCATTTGATGAGCTGTCACATTTCTGAACTAATCTCTCCTTAAAGGGCAACTCCGCTTCATTTTTGGTTTTGAAAAAACAATGCAGTCCTCTTCAGTATCGCCTAGGAAGACCACACATGAAATCTTACGACGCAGTTCTGTCTAAATGTTTCTTAAACGGTCCGGCAAACTTTGCAACTCGCCAAGTTGCCGAAATCGGCTGACTTGAGCGGGCGAATTCAGGCGCAACCAACAGCGCAGTCAAGGCTACGGCATGGGCGGAGCCAACATTGAGCTAAAAGCCATCTACATGGCCCCCTTTTGCTTGTTTTCACTTCTCCGGGCGAGCGTAGCGCATGACGTCAGCAACGTTGCCTCTCGGCGCTCAGCAGTGTCCACGTGATTGGCGTACCGCGCCTGCGCAGCGCGTTTCTTGGGAGCCGTCCGGCCGCCCCCCGTGGTCCCGCCGTTACCGCCGTCTTCCGCGTCACAACCGCCGTCGTCGTCTCACCGATCGTGATTGTCTCTCGGAGTTTCGTCCACACTACGGACACCACGTGCGCGCACACTTATGCCGCAGTTGTGCAGACGTCGTCGAATGCCGTAGGCACCAAAACGTGGCGAAGAGTGCGGTGCAGACGACACTCGCGCCTGCCACACGCCCGCCCCAATCCCGCCCGTCGTTGGGCCGAGGATCACGTGACATCTCGTATCACGTGATGGCCATGTACTTGGCGACCCTAGGCCAATGTTGCCGGGCGGAGCCGAAGTTTCGGTTTCGATTTCCGCTCGTGTTTAAAATCAGATTTAAAATATATATCCCATTTTTCGCGGAGCAAACGACGTAGTGTGTTTTACTAGGGCTTTTTAATTCGAAATCAATCATTATCCCCAAATCTTCGGAATTGCGGAATTGAGCGGAGTTGCCCTTTAAATATATAGGTGCAATTTTCAATGATTTGCTTGGTTGAAATTGGTGTATAATGCTTAATCGAAATATTATTTTTTTCCCTGAGGTTTAAGGTTTTCATGTTGGTTTGCATTACGATAGAGGTTTCCAAACTAAGACAGTGTTTTTCATTTGTTCAGTTGAGGAGAAACTGCCCGAAGGAAAAATCCATCAATGTAACCCTGCTTGGCAGTCAATGTTTTCTAGTGGACCGCTGACTGTGCCTGACTGTACGTCAAGCATGTCTGATTGGCCAGCAAGTTACTCTGACCGACAGTCAAACTCCAGTCAGACCCCGCTTGTCGGCTTTCTGATGGTTTCCTGGTGGCAGTCGGCCGCCGCGAAATGCCATCAGGATGTCTTGGTGGTGATTCTGACTGTACATCGATTGTCTCTGTCTGTACGTCAGAAAGCTTTGACGTGCAGACAGACGAACGGTCAAAGGACGTAAAGTTCGTTCGGATACCACTATTTCGTCAAGTCTATGAAAACGAAAAGTAGTCTATGCACGAGAAAACGATTTTGGGACGTGAGCCCATAAAACCGCTGACGTTAGAGATATGACACGCAACCGACCGACAACCTTGATCAGAAGCCCGCCGAAGCGCCGAACACGACACTTCGCACTTCGCTTCGCCCATAGAGGCTTCGCCGAGTTTTCATGAACGATCGCTCTCGACTCGTTTTGTTTGCCCGCTTGCTCCAACCTGTCGATCCTGCACGGGTTCTACAATGTCTTATGTTTTAGTAGAATTTCTACTCGACAAGACCCAGCCTGTTGTGAGTTCCGACGATGTAAGGGACTTAAGCGGTGTAGTTGAAGACGACACGGTGTACCAGGTCTACTGGGCCGGTGATGCGCGAACAAAAGGATCGTTCTACGACGCGAAAGTACTCTACATGGCAGGTGAGTACAACTGAAGTACGGCGAGTGATGTACGAGTGCTTTGCATAACATGCTGACGGCTTAACCGCATTTGCAGCCAAAGCATTTCGTATAAAACGAATAGTCAAATCGTGTTTCTCTAACGGTGGTGTAGCATAGCGGTTAAGGTGTCCGATTTGTACGCATTTGGTCGCGGGTTCGATGCGCAATGGTGCTGCTTTTTTTTTTTTTCTCGAACATTTTGTTTTATCGAGGCATTTGGCGATATTTATGAGTGCGTATAGCTTTACTCTTATATAAGTGCTGCCCTTGTTGATGAAATTCCCTTGGCAGTGGCAGTCAGACGTCATCTGATGGACCATCAGATGACGTCTGATGGTCCATCACGTTCCACCAAGGCTGCTGACTGGCAGTCAGTGTCCCAAATTACGTTGGTTGATGGAATTTTCAATAGGGTGGAGTCAAGAAGGCCTATTCAGCTGCCAGAAGTGCAGGCAGTTCGTCCAGGTAAGGAGTCCATGAGCTTATACTGACATGTTTTTATTAACTTAAACAGAACTGAACTGATGGAATATTTTTTTATAAACTACTAGATGCGAGGTGTTGGCTAAAAAATTTCTTGCCAGTGGGAATTTTTGCCATTTCCACCTACAGGTTTCAGCACAGAAAAACACTCCTTAGTATAAAGGTAAAGAAAGTAACATCTAAATGGCCCCATCTTTCAAAAGTCAGTCTGCTTCCCATTGTCAGCCTTAATTATTAGGGCACCAGTGTGTACATATGGATCTCGCTGGCCGTTTTGAGTTATCTGCAGTTAATGTTATGACCTGAGTATTCCGTAGCTTTAGTAAAGTTGTAAGGGTATTTGGTAATATGTATTAACTATGATGGATTGTAGCCTGTAGGTCATACTTTTGTTTTTGTTTATAGATTCCCAGCAAGAAGATCCATGGATTCCAAGATTAAACAGTGGTAAATTTGGACAATAATTTATAGTGTAGCAGTCTAATGTGACAGTCATGTTTTATATGTCATAATTGGCCTGTTGCTCACACAGAATTCTGAGGCCTGTCCAGCACATGTATGCTATGATATGCTGAGCATTCTTGACTCAACTTGCAAAAGTATTGATAAGAAAATGACTTACAATGGATAACCTATCCACAACTTTACCTAGTGTTACATTTAAAGTTCAATACTTGAGGGGCACATATGTTTCAGGCTGCATACCACATCGACACGTCCCGGAGACAAGTGTGCAGAGAGCACGAGCAACACCTCCCAATCTTCCAGCAAGCTTGGCCAGAGGACCCCCAGAAGTGCCCAACACTGAGCAGCTAGATTCGCCCCCAAGGGATCCCCCAAGTATCCTCCCAACAGATGACCAGCCCAGGAGCTTCCAAAGAGCCACCTCGGGATCCCCATCAGCCACAGGTAAAGTAGCCAAGTTGACTAGGCACCAGTGTTGTTTTAGTGCTCTTTTCAATATTTTGGCTAACTTATAAAATCTTGGCCTCTCCTCAGTGGATGACCCTCAGGCTGCGGGTCATGCTCCTTTTACTGACATCGGTGGTGGCAGGGTAAGCACATAATTAACATGTATTCAAGGTCGCTTCTAAATGATATTTCTACTACTTCTGTAGTTCCACTTGAAAAGGGGCCTGACGGTTGGCAGCAAGCAAGCAAAGAAAGCCTTGGGGCAGACGAAGCCAGCGCTAGTAGCAAAGGACATATCACAAGCAATTTGGGGTCGTCAGGGGCTGGCCGAGCGAACCTATGGGGGTAAATTAGCCCCAAAAGACTATTACAAGTCTGGTGCCACTGCAAGGAAGGAGATGACCCCTGAAAAAGTGGCCCTGGTGATTGGTAAGTTTGCACATATTTTTTGTATGTGTGATCTGTGCGTAATACACTTTGCTTTCTGCTGTCTTACAGAGACAGTGACATACTGGGGATCCCGAACAGGAATATCTGTGACACACGCCCTCAAGAACATGTCAACTATTCTGCCGCAAAAAATCCAATATGTGCGCAAGAGGATGAGGCGTTTGGACATTTGAATTGAGCAGAGGCGGGGATTTAAAACAGCTTTTTGTGAGTTAAGGCTTGTTCACACTCTTGCAACCGAGTACGACTGAGAGAGACAAGACCGGTTTTTAATCCTCTTGCGACTTCTTGGGACCAGGCGCGCTGCTGCGGAGCTGGTACTAAGAAGTTGCAAGAGGATTAAAACCGGTCTTGTCTCTCTCGGTCGTACTCAATTGCAAAAGTGTGAACCAGCCTTTAGGAGTAGGAATGCAATTGTGCTGTTAGAGCTACAAAAAATGCAAACCTTTCAGTTCAGAGCACTGTTCGCCCATGCCTATGTTAGGGGGTCTCTACGGAAGATGCAATATGAACAAGGATAGAGATAAATGGGAATATTGAAAGTTTACCCCTGCACACATCAGTTAAACCTAGAACACCTTTTTTTTTAATTCTGCCATATGTGAAAAAAAATGTGTATTACGCCGCTTTTCTTTGGCATGTACAGTTGGAAACAAAAGTTTCCGGACCACAGGAGCTGTGGCAGATTTGCATTGCTGCGCCCTCTGATGACTCGGCACCTGGCGTCGAGACCGGCGCTTAGCGCATGTGCATCCTGCGATGCTTGCAGGGATGCCGGTTTCCTCGTCTGCAACTCCCGCGCTCCGATTGTTGACAACCTGTCACATGATGCTGCTTCAGAAGCAGCAGTGGTAAGAGGTACCCGTGAATCACCGGAGGAAGGATTCGCAGATCTTACCAGCTTTTACGGTGGCGTGCCTTTTTCGCCAGCTCTTTTCACTCAACCCAACTAGTATCCATTGCCAGTGATAGCATGCCTTCCTGAACGCCGTCTGAATGTTATTGCTTATTATGATAAACTTTATTTTTACATTTAATGTTCCCTTACCTGAACTGATAAACAGTAAAGGATGTAGCAGCAGCGCCCACGCGGCATTTTACCAACAATCGAGGCACGGGAGCCGTAAGCGAGGAAATCGGCATCCCTGCGAGTATGGAAGAATGCACAGAGCCAAGCACCGGTCTCAACGCCAGGTGCCGAGTCATCGGAGGGTGCAGCAATGTAAATCGGCCACAGCTCCCGTAGTGTGGAAACTTTTTTCCCAGACTGTACCTATCCTGCAAGCATTATTCTATCCCAATTACCAGTTTGATGTCTCCTGATTTGATATGTTTATTTGAAGTGTTTCCATGTACATGCATTGTTTAGTGAACAGCTCTTGGTTTTAATAATGTGACAGTTAGTGTCTTTTGTTCATTTTCGTGAATGAAGGTAGACATGATTTTGTTTTTATATCCTACTTTAGATAGTTTAATTCTATTCACTCTGTGATTCTTGACGCTACCATTGTTGAAGTTTTGTTTGTTAATTCTGTCTTAGCAAAGAGGAATTTCAGATGTATATACTTCTTTTGATGTATTCTTTGTATGTGTACATTAAATTTACTTCATCTTCAGAAGTCACTGTAATGCCAAAGAAAACCTTTTTAAACCGTCTGGATAGGACATATATGTCAAAAGTTATTATTGGAGAGAAAGCAACTGAATTGAAGTAATATTTACGGTTCGAGACTGATTTTAGTTTGCATCAATTTGTCAAATAGTCACTCTCAAAAGTAGCCACCATTTGAAGAATGTCGCACAGATAATACTCTCTAGAAAGACGTGTCGTTCATGGGACTAGACACTACAAAGATTACGTAAACAGCTGAGGAGTCTTTCTCCTTCCAAACAAATGGGAGACTGCAAAAAGGGTTACTATTAGTTTGACATTTTCCTTCGAATAGTGGCTACAGATGAAATCAAACTAAAATGGACCTTGCCCCGTACATATTGCTCTAATTAAATTATTTTTCATTTAAAGTGTATTTTGTGATATCTGTGGCCTATACCGACTGTTTGAAACTTTTTTCATTCCAATTTTGCTTTTAAGTAAGGTAGTAGTAGTAGTAGTAGTAAACTTTATTTTGTCCAAGATGGGGTTTAGAGAGGAGGGGAGTGGGAGTGCCCGTCCTCTTCTTCCTCAGGCGGCGGCCAGGCCTTGGGCTTTGGCGGCGTCTTCGGCCATCTGGACGACCCAAAGTTGGAGATCCGGGTCTGAGCTAAGCAGTGTAGTCTCCCACTGCTCTAAGGTGGTAATGGGAAGAGGAGGTAATGAGCTGGTGCGCTTTTGGGTGCTTATCAGGGGACACGCCCACATGATGTGGTGAAGATCGGCCCTACCTGCGCATAATTTACAATCTGCTGTATATAGCCCTGGATACAGATGACTATATGTCACTGGGTTTGGGAATGTGTGCGTTTGTAAAAGGCGCCAAGTAACTGATTGCTTTTTATCTAAATTTTTGTGAGCGGCGGGGTAATGCCCCCTGCCCTGTCTGTAGTATTGCAGGACCTCCTTATAGGACACTATCCGGTCCCTACCTGAACGACGAAGGAATTCGAGCTGCTCATCGTGAAAGGTTGTCTTGCGGCCGCGGATGGTTAATTCTCGGGCCGCATTGTGAGCAGCTTCGTTTCCCGGGAGACAGGAGTGCGCCGGTGCCCAAACGAGTTGTGTTCATCTGCGCCGGGTTTCGGGTGCCTGGACTAAAATTTTGAGGGCTTCGGGCGAAATGCGCCCTTTCGCGAAGTTTCGTATAGCTGACTTTGAGTCGCTGACTATGAATTTGGCTGAGGATGAAGCGTATGCCAAGGCGATTGCGACTTCCTCCCCGACCTCCGGCGAGGTTGTAATGACTGAGCTTGCAGCGATGGTTTGATTTTGTTGATCAAGTACAGCCACTACCATGGCGTCTCGATCACGATACTCGGCCGCGTCTACATAGGCCACGTCTTTAGAATTTGCAAAGCGCTTTTGTAAGGCTCTGGCTCTTTCCTTTCTGCGTTCTTGGTTGTACAGAGGGTGGGTGTTTTTAGGTAATGGTGGGACGTGTATGTCTTTTCTGAGCTCTATGGGAATGTCCAGCTTTGGTCCGAATTGGGTGCTGTATGTAATCCCGAGTGATTGGAGAATATGTTGCCCCGTCGGGGACTGTGAGAGTCTCTCCAGCTGGGCAATTCTTTGGGCTTCTATGAGCTCGTCAAGAGTGTTGTGTATTCCTAGAGCCTCAAACTTTTCGTTCGCGGTGGTAATTGGGAGGTGTACAGCCTGCTTATAGGCTCTCTTGATCATGAGGTTAATTTTGGAACGTTCATCATTCTTTAGTTGCAGGAATGGAATAGCGTAGACTATTCTGCTTATAACGAAAGCCTGTACCAGTCTGAGTAGATTAGCTTCTTTCATGCCGTGATGTCTGTTGGCGATGCGCGAAACGAGTCTTGTCGTTTGGTGCACGTGTGAGTCCAGCGCCTTTATCGCTTCATTGTTGTGTCCATTGGTCTGTATTCTAAGTCCAAGGATCCTGATGCTCGATACTATTGGAATGTCCAATCCGTTAGCTCTGAGCGTGATTTGAGGGGGTATGGAGGAAGTTTTTCTACCTCTGCACGTAGGTGTATACAGTAATAACTCTGACTTTTGTGGGGAACAGGAGAGTCCTTTAGGTAACTTAATTTTTTCCCAAGCATGTAGATGTTCTTTATGAAGCATACGTCGTTTTGTACTAGAAAAAGTGGGGCCATGTTAAGTTACTCGAGAATGCCTTCTTGACCCGTGTGCTTAATGTAATATGAAAAAAAAAGTAAACTGATATAATGTTAATACTTCAAGGCTCATTTAGACTCTCTGGACACATTTCCTTTTGTATTTGCTAATCAAAGGTGTGAAATAAAATACGGATTTACATATTTGACCATGATTATGAAGTCTTTTACGGTAAACACAGCTGGTCTCATTTGAAGTGGGACCGCTTGAAGTAGTCCCACACCAAATGAGACCACTTCAAGTGGTCCCACATCAAGTGGGACCACTTGAAGTGGTTCCACTTGATGTGGGACCACTTGAAGCGGTCCCCCTTGAAGTGGTCCCACTTGAAGCGGTCCCATTTGAAGTGGTTCCACTTGCCAAGTGGTGCCTGTTCGATAAACCGCTTCAAATGGGACCTCTTCAAGTGGTTCCACTTGCAACATTTTCACCTGGGTTACGTATTCACGTGCAAGGAGTGTGCTGGGAGTACGGAAAAGAATCGGCAAAGCCAGTTTTAAGTAGAAGAAGCTGCCATTCAAAGACTGTGAAGGCTGGGGTGGTCAAATCAATAATCGGAAACGCTCTAAAGAAGTCATGTCTTCATTATGTAGGCCAAGCCCTCAAAAGGCAGTGGGTGAGGTTAGAGGATGCGGGTTATGATAAAGTTTTCATCACGAGGCAGCTCTCCCCAAGTTTCGGCGAGAGAAATGGAACAACGAGAGAAAGAAGTAAAAAGGTTGCCGTAGTCCCGTACTACCACAGTGTTTCGCATAACCTTAAAGCGAGTGCTCACAGATTTGGAGTTGACGTAGTGTTTTCATCTGATTACAAATTAAACAGGATGACTCCGTTCTTTGCACCTCCAAAGGAATGCAGAAGGCAACATCAGGACAGGTCAGTGGGTTGCAAAGGAGGTGTAGTCTACGAGATACCCTTAGCATGTGGTTTTAGATATGTGGGGCAAACTTCGCGGTGCGTGAATGACAGACTGACCGAGCATAAAAGAAATGTAAAAAACGGGGCACCGAACTCGGAAATCGCCAAGCACGTGTCTGAGTGCAACAATTGTAAGGTGTTTTGGTCGGAAACGGAGGTAATACATCGAGAGGAAAATGAGATAAAAAGGCTAGTGAAGGAAACAGTCCGAATTAAGTCGATGGGAAATTGTATTAGCCAGCCATCAATGCATCTAGGAGAAAGCTCAAGAAAATTCCTCAAGATGTAAACCCCCGTTTTTTTTTGTTTTTTTGTTTTTAGCTATCCAGCACTTTGTGCGCGACCTACAAAGATGCAGTACAGGTGCAGGACATATTGTTTGTTCTGGTATTCATTGTTACTTCTTTCAAGTGTGTAGTTGAGGTTGGAACTTTTGCATTCTCCCCTTTG